ACTTTTTTTTTTTTTCTTTTTTTTTTTTTTGAAATCATATCCTAACCAAGATCACAGCTTACAACCAGCAAAAACCACAGGCGTAAACACCGCCCCTAGCAATCATGTCGATTTTCGAGCAAGCACGCAGGGGCGAGCTCCTTGGCGGCAGGGTAAGGCGCTTAAGCTCGGCTTCCCTCAACTCGCAAGACCCGGAGACCGGGTTGACGCTGCTCGCCACAGCCGTGCTCTCCGGAGTCCCGGCAGAGGTCGAGCAGCTCCTCGAGCGTGGCGCTGTGGCCAACAAACGCTGCAAGAATAACGAGACGCCGCTCCTCCTCGCGACCTGGCAGGCCACGGTCGAGCGTCCGCTGATGGTGCAGGCCCTGCTGCCCTACCTCGACAAGGAATCCCTCAACCACACATGCAGATCCGCCTGGGGCAACACACCCATCATGTGGGCCGTCGAGAAGATCGACGCCGATTCGGTGCGCCTGCTGGCCAAGGCCGGCGCCAAGATCAAGATTAAGAACGATGACGGCGAGACGGCCGAGGGCATCGCTGTGAGAGTCGGGAAGAAGTACTTAATCAACTGCCTGCGTCCGGACGAGGAGCAGGCCCTTTTTAGCCGCCTGGCCACCGGTGTAGCGTATTTCGGGCGCCACGTTGTGTCGTGGGTCGACAAAAAGTTCAGCGGCTTTATGGGCAAGGTGTTTAAGTTTAAGGGGGAGAAGCACAACAGCGTGGAAGCGAAGATGAAGGAGATGAGGGCCAGTCCGGCGAAGCCCACAGCCAGCAATTCGGCGAAGCCCGCGGCTGGCAATCCGGCGAAACCCGCGGCCAGCAACCCGGCGAAGCCCACGACCAGCAATCCAGCGAAGCCCATGGCCGCCAATCCGACGAAACCCACCACCAGCAATTCGGCGAAGCCCATGGCTGTCAATCCGGCGAAGCCCGCGGCCGCCAATCCGGCGAAGCCCACGGCCAGCAACCTGGCGAAGCCCATGGCCGTTAATCCGACGAAGCCCGCGGCTGGCAATCTGGCGAAGCCCATGGCCGACGATCCGGCGGAGCCCACGGCCGGCGATCCCACAACCAGCAATCCGGCGAAGCCCACGGCCGATAATCCGGCGGAGCCCACGGCCGTCAATCCGGCGAAGCCCACGGCTGGCATCCGGCGAAGCCCGTGGCCGTTAATCCGGC